CGTGTCCCCTGCATTGGCAGGGGACACGGGTTCGAGCCCTGGTCTGGGAAGATCCCACATGCCGCGGAGCAACTGGGCCCGTGAGCCACAATTACTGAGCCTGCGCATCTGGAGCCTGTGCTCCGCAACAACAGAGGCCGCGAGAGTGAGAGGCCCGCGCACCGCGATGAAGAGTGGCCCCCGCTTGCCACAACTAGACAAAGCCCATGCACAGAAACGAAGACCCAACACAGCCATAAATAAATAAATAAATACATTAAAGAAAAAACTAAATTACGGGGTTTTCCTGGTGGCGCAGTAGTTAAGAATCCACCTGCCAACGCAGGGGACACGGGTTCGAGCCCTGGTCCGGGAAGATCCCACGTGCCGCGGGGCAACTAAGCCCGCGAGCCACAACTACTGAAGCCCACGCGCCTAGAGCCCATGCTCCACAAGAGAAGCCACCACAATGAGAAGCCCGTGCGCCGCAACGAACACCCAATGCAGCCAAAGATAAATAAAAATAAATTTATAAAAGAAAAAAAAACTATAAATTACTAAGGAAAAAAGAGAGGCAAAACCAGGCAAAAGATTTACTGAAAAATGTTCTGAAAAGGCAATTAAATTACTATATACTCACATCACAAGAGTAATTTACTTAAATCCAACAATCAAAACAAATATTTGTTAAACATACACTATGTGCCAAGTGCCATTCATGGCGCTGAGATTATAAAGACAAATGTGAATGAATCTGATATTCTTCCTTACCTTAGGAAACGGAACCTTTTAATTAGTTGCATTGTGGGTATGACATGGGGTAGAAGGGAGAAAGGAGGAGAGAGTTAAAAAAAAAAAAAGTTTAAATTGTTACATTATGGAGGTTTGTGGACACTTTTCCTGTGACCCTTAAATTTGGCGGGATCTCACTCACCGGCAGGGGTGGTAATAACAGCTGATCTCATCTTTCCTTTAAGCAAAGGATCCCAAAGCCGTGGTGTGCGTCCTGCCTGCCCCAGCGACAAATTTCTCACCTGTCTTCTGAATCAACCTGCTGGCAGTGCCCCAAAGCAGGAAAGAGGTGGCCCTGCCACCACTGCAAATTGTGGCTCTGTGGACCTTGTCTCTCCTTAAATTTTCGATGCCACCGCATCACTTTAAACCAGACCACCCCAGGAGTGAGACCGGGGCTTTGCAAACTTTAGTGTGCAGAGCAATGCCTGGGGATTCTGTTAAAATGCAGACTCTGCTTCAAGAGATCTGAGGCCTGGGATTCTTCCTTTCTAATAAGTTTCCTGGAAGACGCTCTCTTGGGAAGACCACACCCTACCAGAGAGTTAGAAGGCAATGGAAGGATCAAGAATGAACAGCTTGGGCTTCCCTGGTGGCGCAGTGGTTGAGAGTCCGCCTGCCGATGCAGCGGACACGGATCCGTGCCCCGGTCCGGGAGGATCCCACATGCCGCGGCGCGGCTGGGCCCGTGAGCCATGGCCGCTGAGCTTGTGCGTCCCGAGCCTGTGCTCCGCAACGGGAGAGGCCACAACAGTGAGAGGCCCGCATACCGCAAAAAAAAAAAAAGAAAAGAAAAAGAACAGCTTGTCCTTCTATATTTCCTGGATATACACACACTTGCCCTTCCCGTGAGTAAATTCGAATAGTAGTAAAGAATTCAGAGTAATGCAGCTGTGCTATGCATAGGCATTAGGGTGCCTGCAGAAGCAGCTGTCTCAGAAGTCTACTTACAAGAATAAACACGAGATCTCTTCCTTAGTCATGACGTCCAGGGTTCTTGCTTACAGAAAGTGTTGTGGGCCAGAACCCAGGTCACTAGCATCCCAAATGAGGGAGAAAGAAAAAAGACCAAGGTAAAGGCCATCTGGGGAGCTCCCACCCACTCCCTCTCCTGCTTAAGGTAGAGACACGCGTTTTTCGGATTCTCTTTTGTACTTCAGTGAGCGTAAATCTGTCCTTTAACAAGGGGGCCTGGAGAACCCTCAACCAGAAACTCTGCAATTCCTTAAGGCTTGCTTGTTAGGATTAGATAGGGAAGACACTGTTGATGGAGAGAAGGAATTGTGAGTCCTTTGAATCCGGGAGGGAATGCAAGCCAAGTGGGCCGCCTTAGAAAGCTGCTTCTCAGATCTACCCAGAGCCACTGGTGCTACCAGACGACACAGGCTGGTCTGCTGAAACCCTGCTACGCAGCATGAACGTTACGATTTAGCACCAACTCAGATTTTACCATCCCATTTTGCAGAGAAGTCACCTGGGAAGCTCAGAGAGGTCATATAACCCACCCAAGGCCACACAGTTTAAGGCGGGCTAAGGATGTGAACGCTGCCCAAAGCCATAGTGCGACCTTTCCAACAATGCTTAAGGAAATATCTGAGGTAGTCTTCCAAAAGCTGCGGGGCATTCACTCCCAACGTAGCCCCTAGACCCCGCCCTTACACGGACAGCTGGACCGCCCCGAGGCTGAGGCGGGAGGGAAACCACTGCCGGGGAGCAGCCGCCAAGAAGGCCAAGCACTTCCGGTGCACAGAAAATGAGGGTCGTTCAGGGTCAGCAGACTTGCAGGTGAGGGCCGGCCCGCACGTGGCGTATAGGGACTAAAATACATCCCGAGGCATCCGAAGACAGTATGACTCGAGACGAGAAAGTCTTATCCCTTACCCGCCCTAGTGGACACCAAGGTCAAGCGGCCGAGTGCGCGCCGCCATGCCGAGTCCAGCGGTTTAAGTGGAGCAGGCGGAGCCTAGCGGACGTACGCATCGGCGCGATGACGTCACAGACCCGCGCGGGTAGTCCGGCCTCAATCCCTTCTGCGGAAGCTTCCTGGGCGAGCGTGGTCCGGCCCTGATAGGCAGGGCCCGGTTGAGTGACGGACCGGCTCCGCCTTCCGGATAAGGGACGGCGGGCTGGGAGTGGCGGGGGACGAAGTTCTACACGGAAGTGCCTCAGACCTGCATTGGTAGGGCGGAGCGCGGGGCGGTCGAGGGGCAGGTTCTGGCCCTCCGGAGGTGGCTCCCGGGGGAGTGGGTCCGCGTAGGCGTCCCTGGGGGTGTTGCAGCAGCGACCCTCGTCCCGCCACCCCCAGACCACAGGATAGGGGGGGCACTGGGCCTGCGTACGCTGGGTCGGCCCCTCTGGAGACCCATCCCCTTCTCCCCTCTCCAGTCTGAAGAAATTAAACCCAAACCGGGGCTCGGCTGCACCGATTGCGCCTCCTTTCGCACAGGGCCTGGCTCTGCGCATCAGAACGAGTGTTTTCGGTTCCTAAATTCCAGGCCGGGGCCAAGTGCCTAGTCTGAAGGTCCCGGAACCCCCGAGAAACCCCTGAGGGCATCCAGGGGGAGCAGTTGGGGGGGGGCACTGTTTTATACACGTGGTGAAATCGTTCCCCCTGAAGTTTCATGAACTATAGTTTCATTGTTAGATTTGTTGCAAGTATCAGGTGTTGCAGATGTCGTTTCTTTGAGCCTCCAGTTGCCCTCGCCAGTCATGACCTCAGTTTGTCTTGAGAAACTTGGCTATGAAATACACTGCATCGTTGAATAATTGAGTATTGCATTATTGAATAATTGAGAGCATCAGGTTAAAAAAACAAAATAGCAACAAAAAACGGATGCTCACGATGGAAACGGTGGGGAGTCGAGACATATGTTTTAAATTCACTGATGCACTCGCAAAGAGCAAATGTGTCTTTCATTTGAAGTTTGCTACCTTCTCTAATGATTTTACCAGTAGCCCACACCCCCAAAAGTTTCAAAAGGTCAAGAAAAAAGGACCAAATGCCTTGCCAATGGCAATTTAACCGTTTAGTTTTTGTCATGTAATTAAAAAGTAGGTTGCATAGTCTATGCACTGAACAAATATAGACTGTTGTCGTTTTTTTTTTTTTAATTAATATGATTGTAGTGGGTCAAGGTGAGAGAGGGAAAAGTTTCCTTGAAAGATTTGGGTGATTAATTAGACTTTAATTGAAAAGATTATGCTTAGAACAGAGAATTCTGTATATAAAAGAAAGCCTTGGAATGATGACTAGCATAAGAGTACACAGCATGTGGAACAAACTATACCAACTTAACGGGCATTTTTGGGTTTTGTGTCACCAATTTCACAGCTAGAATGAAGCACATCAACTTGTCCTTTGCAGCGTGTGGGTTTCTGGGCATTTACCACTTGGGGGCAGCATCCGCACTTTACAAACACGGCAAAAAGCTCCTGAAGAATGTCAAGGCCTTTGCCGGGGCTTCTGGGGGATCCTTGGTTGCTTCTGTCCTGCTAACAGCGCCACAAAAAATAGAGGTAATTAAGTAGTAACTAGGCTGTGTTTCTCATCCAGAAATTACGCCCAAACAACGAAGATGATTGTTAACTATCTACTAAGTTAACTGCAGAGAAATAATCCTTTGCCTGGGAAACGAAAAAGGTTGACTTCTTTTAAATTTTAATCATTCGGGATCTCTGCTCTCCATTTGGAAAAGATTATTATTTTGGGTGACAACAAGACAAGGAAATAAAATCCCTTCTTTTACTCTTGCGTGTTTATTTAGTCTTAAGATTCCAGCTTTGTTTCTTTCAAGCAAAGGATATTTCTCCATTAACTGATCATGAGAAGAGCACAGAGCCTGTTCTCAAGGCCTTGAACATGTGGCTGATAAGTCTGCTTGCTCCTATTTACAAACAGGCATATAAACTAAAATGTTGGCCTGTAATATCTTTTGTTTTTTAATTTATTTTTGGCTGCGTTGGGTCTTCGTTGCTGCACGTGGGCTTTCTCTTAGTTGTGGCGAGCAGGGGCTACTCTTTGTTGCCGTGCGAGGGCTTCTCATTGCTCTGGCTTCTCTTGTTGCAGAGCACGGCCTCTAGGCACGCCAGCTTCAGTAGTTGCAGCACGCGGGCTCAATAGTTGTGGCACACGGGCTTAGTTGCTCCGCAGCATGTGGGATCCTCCCAGACCAGGGATCGAACCTGTGTCCCCTGCAGTGGCAGGCGGATTCTCAACCACTGTGCCACCGGGGAAGTCCCTGTAATCTCTTTTAAGAGGAATGATATTGGAATTTAATTTGTTTTTCATTCCCACAGTAAGAAGCAGCCCTGAATTCCAAGCAGTTTATCTAGAAGTAATAAAAATAAGCATTAAGTATTTCATTTAATGTAATCTATGTTTTTAAAATCTATGTTTTTAAAATCTATGTTTTTAAAGTTTTCTGCCTCTAGACAGCCATCATGCATTCTCTGACTGTGAGAACTGGCTTCTGCAGGTGGAGAATATTCTATCTGTTAATTACTTACATTCTCTAGCAGCTTGGAATAGTAATCAAATAATGATTAACATTTCCATGCCCAAGGATGCATTTGTCACATTTAAATGTTGAAATCCACAACATTTTAAACATCAGAAATCTTGTTTTCAAATCTCTGATGAGCTGCTTATGGAAGAGAAACTGGACTTTAGACCAGTTATTCAGAAATCCACTGCTCTTTTTCTTTTTTATATACTAGAAAAGTGATGGAAAATTTTAGAGATTGTACAGGATGAGAACGTGAAGTCAGGGAAAGTATACATGAAGTGTGCAAACTCCCCCCAAAGTAGCAGACTCATGTGCTTTGAAGTGCAAGCTGGTCCCTCCCAGCTCTTTATTTCCTTTCTGAAGCACAGGGCTACTAAAGGGTTGTTTACTCCTGTTCAGGGCATTCTTTCCTTTAGGTGGGAGCAAATCCCGAGCTTTGGATTTGGGTAGATTTGGTTTCGAATCCTCAGCAGTTTGAAATATATTAATTGTGATTTAGAATTAGACTGATTTGGAAATGCTGTGATCATATAGCCCCTTCACTGAAATTCTGCGATGTTCAGACATTGAATCCTTTACCTGAATTTGAGACTTTTGATGTCAGTCCGATTACCTGTTCTTTTTTACATTTTCGGTAAGTTGGAGATCCAGTCGTATTGTCTCATTGTGTTGGTCAGGCCTTAGGGGTAACTCTTTATCGGCCGCTCACGTTGGCAAGTGGAAAATGATTCTCTGGATTCACCTAGGGCATCCTCGTTTCTCTTTTCTCAAAATCAGTTTTCAGCCATTTGCCTTGAGGTTACTTTATTTCTTTTCTCTTGAGCATTTGAGATCTACCCCTTGAAGGATGGCTTTGAGCTTTCTTAGGAAGCTGTTTTCTACCTACTCAAGTCCCTGTTAGCTCAGTTCTCCCTGTTGGTATATAAGTTCTTCGAGCTTTGTGGTGTTGTGACAGAGATGTGAGTAATGAATCCAGCTCCGAGCTGGTGCATGTATAATTAAGACCAGCACCTGACGCTGGTGTATTTTAGGTGGCAGGCAGATTTAGACTTTGATATGTTAAAAGCTCAGCGCAGCCGGCCTTTCCTCAGCCCTCAGAATTTGCCAGGCATGGCATTAGACACAGCAGGGAGCTAACTCAAAGATAAGTGCATTCCTTAATAGGTTTCCAGTCTGGTCAGGGGCCGTGTCTGTGTGTGTGTGTGTGTGTGTGTGTGTGTGTGTGTGTGTGTGTGTGTAAAACCAAAAATAATACAAGAAAATAAGCTGGGTGTGCAGTGTGGCTTAGTAGAAAGAGCATACACTGGGGAGGGCCACCCCCATGTCTCAGCTAGAAGTCTACAGCAGCTTCTTGAACAGGCAGGCCTGTGTCTGCCCCGCTGCCTACAATCCACCTACTTAAGCATTCAGAGTGATTTCACCCAAACACAAATCTGAACATCTCATCCTGTGACCTCCTCCTCTCCCACCCCCGGGATCCCTGTTGACTCAGGATGGGGTGCAGATTTCTTTTTTTTTTTTTTTTTCTTTTTATTTTATATTGTTGTATCGTTTTTTTTTTTTTATTTTATTTATTTATTTTTGGCTGCATTGGGTCTTTGTCGCTGCCTGTGGGTTTTCTCTAGTTGCGGTGAGCGGGGGCTACTCTTCGTTGCAGTGCACGGGCTCTAGGCACACGGGCTTCAGTAGCTGTGGCTCGTGGGCTCTAGAGCACGGGCTCAGTAATTGTGGCTCGTGGGCTCAGTAGTTGTGGCTCATAGGCTCTAGAGCGCAGGCTCAGCAGCCGTGGCGCACGGGCCTAGCCGCTCCGCGGCATGTGGGATCCTCCCCAACCAGGGCTCGAACCCGTGTCCCCTGCATTGGCAGGCAGATTCTCAACCACTGTGCCACCAGGGAAGCCCTGGAGTATAGTTAGTTAACAATGTTGTGATAGTTTCAGGTGTACAGCAAAGTGATTCAGTTATACATAGACATGTATCTATTCTTTTTTAAATGCTTTTCCCATTTAGGTTGTTGCATAATATTGAACGGAGCTCCCTGTGCTATACAGAAGGTCCTTGTTGGTTATCCACTTTAAATATAGTAGTATGTACATGTCAATCCCAAACTCCCAATTTATCGCTCCCTCCATCCTGCCCCCCAGTAACCATAATTTCATTCTCTAAGTCTGTGAGTCTGTTTCTGTTTTGTAAATAAGTTCATTTGTATCATTTCTTTTTAGATTCCTCATATAAGTGATATTATGTGATATTTGTCTTTGTCTGACTTCACTCAGTATGACAATCTCCAGGTCCATCCATGTTGCTGCAAATGGCATTACCTCATTCTTTTTAGTGGCTGAGTAATATTCCATGGTATTTATGTGCCACATCTTCTTTATCCATTCATCTGTCAATGGACATTTAGGCTGTTCCCATGTCCTGGCTGTTGTAAATAGTGCTGCTATGAACATAGGGGTGCATGTGTCTTTTCAAAGTATGGTTTTCTCTGGACATAGGCCCAGGAGTGGGATTGCAGGATCATATGGTAGCTCTATTTTTAGTTTTTTAAGTAACTTCCATACTGTTCTCCATAGTGGCTGAGATTTACATTCCCAACAACAACGTAGGAGGGTTCCCTTCTCACCTGGGGTGCAGATTTCTTAGTACGACTCCCAGGGCCACGTGGACCTTAGCCCTCTCATGGCTCACTGAGGTTGCCTTTCTGGCCTCTGCCCCGTCTGAGCTGCTTGCACTCTTCTCACCGCTACCTCTGCCTGTTGTCGTCTGCCACCTCCATCTCCTGTCCAACTCCTGTCTGTATCTTAGGTCTCAGCCTAGTAAAGTGAGGTTGGAGGTTGATGCCCACTGTGTTAGCTCCCAGTTGCTGCTGCAACAGATGACAGTAAACATAGCAGCTCTGAACAACACACGTTTATTTTCTAACAGTTCTGGAGGTCAGACGCCTGAAAAGGTCTCAATGTCTACAATCAAAGTGTCAGCAGGGCCACGCTCCCTCTGGAGGCTCCGGAGGACAGTGTGTGTCCTGGCCTTTTCCAGGTGCTAGAGGCGTCCTGCCTTCCCTGGCTCTGGCTCCTTCCTCGATCTGTAAAGTCATAAGCATAGCATCTTGACATCTCGCCAACTCTGACCCTCCTGCCCCCCTCTCTCCCTTACAACGACCCTTGTGATTATATTGGGTTCACTGAGATAATCCAGGAGCATCTCCTGATCTCGCAACCCTTAATTTAATCGCATGTGGAAAGTCCCTTTTGCTGTGTAAGGGCACCGATTCTCAGGGTCCGGGGCTACCCTAACCTTCGGGGGAAGGAGGGGACGTGAATCTGCCCCATACATGGATGCTGTCCTGGCGCCCTGCCATCTCCTCACCGAGGGACTCCTCAGTCCCAGGAAGGCAGGGGCTCTGTGTATCTCATGCTCAGCCATTGAATCCCAGTTCCTAGCCCACTGCCTGGTGCCCAGTAGGTTGCTGAATGGATGAACTAATAAATGAAAGATAGACCTGGGTTTAAATCCTGGCACTGACACTCATTTTTGATGGCACAGTGGGAAAGATACTTAACCCTCCAAATGTCAGTTTTCTTACCCATCTAGTGCGGTGATTATACCCACCTTGCATTGTTATATGAAGACGAGGCAACAGAGGCCACATCAGTGGATCCCAGCACTGGCTGCCTGTTAGCCCCGACTGGGGGGACTTTTGTGAAAGACCAGTGCCCCAGGCTAATCTCCAAGGACTCTGATCCGGTAGAGTCATCGCAAGCCCTTTCTCTGTTGTTGGTGGTGGTGTGAATCGTCAGCACTGTTGTAGAGCTGCAGGCCGAATGTTCCAGAGGCCACAGGATTGGTGTGGGTGAGGAATTTAATTATGTTGGAGAAGCCTGTAGAAAAATGTGCTCAGTTACAATTAGAACCCAGCCGTCAAGGATTTTCCACAGGTGGACAAAGCCATGTGAGGTGGTTGAAAAAGAAAAAGAAAAAAAAAAAAAAGATTGCAATTGGCAGACCATATAGCTTGCCTGGGGCCCAGGAATGGTGGGTGAGGGACAGGCCTCGTGGGGATGCGTGCCTGTGAAGCATCCGACATCTGGGGTTGGCTTTATACGGTCCAGGTGCCTTATGTGATAGGCACAGGGTTCTGGAACCAGAATCGTAATGTTTTTGACAAAACATAGGGTCACCTATTAATTTTCTTTTTCAGGAATGTAACGAGTTTACCTACGGTTTTGCCGAAGAAATCCGAAGGCAGACTTTCGGGGCAGTGACACCCGGCTATGATTTCATGGCCCGATTGAGGTACATATATAGAGTACATTCCCCCGCTCCCTCCCCCAAGCCTGTGAAGACAGAGGACGCTCTGGATACATTGTAGCAAGCTCAGTCAGCATTCTCTCTCCTGAAACATTTACAAGGCGGTCAGTAATTAAAGGTGAATCATGCAGTGCGTGGCCAAGCCACTCAAGATGGCTGTTCTCTTGCTCTCCGTACATCCCCTGCTCGACCAAGTCCTTGCTTCATCCGCACGCTACTCTCACAAACGTGAGTTGCCTCCTGCCCCAGCACGTGACTGGCCTAATCCTTGGGCCAGAGCGGCTCCACCTGGTAGTTTATTAAAGGGAGATACCTGCCCTCCACGATGGGTGTTAACCTGACGGGCTGTGAGCTGCTAGTTTCTGTGGTAACAGAGGAGCCCACGTGACATCAATTCCCTATATAAATGGTGGCCTCCTTCACCCCCGGGTAGCAAAGATGGCTGCTTTGTCCTGTCTGCCGGCTGCCGAACATGATGGGGTGTCTCTCCAGGACTCTTTTGCTTTGGACATGTAAGATCCCCCATCCAGTAAGCCATAGGTGCCGCTGTCACTGTCTCCGGGCTCTTTCTCGGGTCTCCAGCCTGGGCAGCTACAAGGCTTGCAGGCCGGTGGGGCGCAGCGGGTCCCTTTTTCTTCTTCAGGAGCGGAGTGGAGGCGATTCTCCCTCCCAACGCGCACGAGCTGGCTCACAACCGCCTGCACGTCTCCATCACCAACACCAAGACCAGAGAAAACTACTTAGTCTCCAGTTTTCCCTCCCGAGAGGACCTTGTTAAGGTAACACTGCCGCATTCCTTGTTGGAGGAAATGAGCAAGTGCTGATATACATACTTCCACAAACAGTGAGCGCGCCCGCGTTCTTTAGATCCAGCATTGCATACCATGCCTGATAGATGGTACATATGCTCCATAAATCATGCGTCTGAAGGATGCATCCGCCAGTATCCCTCCGAGGCCACCTTATGGCAGGCGGCTCCCAGAGACCTCCGGAGTAGCTCGGTGTTTTTTCTTGTGATGTTCCGTGTGCTCACGTTTATCCTGGGATTAAACTTGAGTAGCAAGAACCATTCCTTACATTGACGTAGATAATACTTACGCGGTTCGTGTAAGACTTTGTCTCAGTACTACCGTATTCGGCCCTTCCACAGCCCTGTAAATCAGGCAGGACAGGTGAGATTACTGTACTTTTGTCGCTTTTCTAAGAGAAGAAATGGCTGGTAAGATTTTGTGTGACACACCCCAGGGTGTACTGACTGCCAGTGGGAATCCAGGTCTCTTACGTTTTCACTCTAATGTTCCCTTTCCTTTCTTCCATTTTGCGTTGATGCCTTTCTATCCAAACACATGTGAAAGTCGGTTGGGAAATCATTGTCTCTGAGATAGTTCGGCTGATTTGCAAATAACAGTGCATTGCTAAGGTAATATATTAAATATTTTACATTTGAAAGGGTGCACTTCTCTTAGAAAAGCCAGGCTATTTTCTTCTTTTTCCTCTTGTGGGAATTGTAGCGAGCTTCAGGTGATACAGAGGACGCGTGTTTGGATACAGCAGCAGGCGATGGATTGAGAGAGCTACAAGTTCCACCTGAATTAGATGATAAATGCATTGAGTTTTACTATCAAAACTCACGGTTCGAATTTTATGTTTGAATGATATGATTTGAAATACCTAATGAAATGTTGAGCTGACAAGTAAAATTACTTTGTGACTTAAGAGATTAGAATATTTTCACTCCCGTCTCTCACTTATACATTAATAGTCATTCCATCTTAGAAAAATATTTTTCTATAATATTATTATACTCTTGTGTAGACTTAAAAAATAGAAAGGGAGAAGCTGATAATCCATGCCTGAATTGTCACAAATTGTCAATGCCAACGCAGACATATCAGGCTTGCGGTGGTTAGAATACCTCTTCTTGTTGGCAAGAGAACAAGGCTGGGAGCAAAAGACTATTATCCTATCATGAAACAAGAGGGGAATTCTACCCACAGTTACTACCTTCTCCTTGAGTCTGTCCGTGGCTACTGTATCTACAGTGGCCGAGCCCCTGATGTTTCCTATATCCCGCCCTGATTTACTTACCACTGTTCCGCATACGAATTTTACTGCTCTGTTTACTTAGTTTTTGTCTATCTTCCTTCACAGGAGTGTAAGCTCGGGGTGGGGGTGGGGGGTAGGAGGGTTCAGGGACTGCTGTGTTCTGTCCGCTCCTGTATTCCCAGCGCCTGGTACAGTGTCATCTCCATCAACCTGTGCTCCATGAGTGAATGGGAATGAATAAATCAATGAACGAAGATGGCATCTATTAAAAGAATGAAGAAGCTGGATCCTTCATGTTCAATGATCTGGACAACACGTAATTCAGCTCGCTAGTGGCCCAGCTGGGACCACAGTCCAGGCCTCTAACATTCTGCTTGGTAGCCATGGCCCCCTCTCCCAACACGAGATAAAATCACCCTCTTAATTCCTTTCATGTGGGAGTGTCGTGAGCTGAATAACGTCCCCCAAAGATGTCCACACTGTAATCCCCAGGACCTGTGAATACGGCGTCTCACATGGCAAGAGGGTTTGTATAGATGGGGTGAAGGTGAGGGTCTTGATGGGGAGGTGATCCTGGGTTAGCTGGGCCGACCCAAACTAATTTAATCACATGTGTCCTTAAAAATGGATATGTTTGCTGCTTCTGAGGCGCAGGAGCCTTTGTATGAGGAGGGCACTACGGGTCCTCCCCTTGACAGCCAGCGAGGCAGAGGGACCTCAGTCCTACAGCCAGTGGAACTGAATGCTACCAGTATCTCAATGAGCAGGAAACCAAGTCTCCCCTCAAGCCCGCAGGAAGGATTGCAGCCCTGCCAGCACCTGAATTTTTTTGCCCAGGTGGATCCGGCCTGTGCTGGATCCCGACCTCCAGACCCTAGGATCATACATTTATTTGTGTTGTTTTAGCCTTTCGATTTGTGGTAACTTGTTATAGCAGCCATAGCAAACTACTGCAGTAAGCAAACAGGACTTTTTGATTTGGCTTTGTTTTGGATAATAACTACTCAGAGAACTGGTGAAATTACTTGAGTTCATTGAACAGAAGAGAACTAGTTGGCACAAATGTATAATACCTTGTAAGGAGAATAATTGAATAATTAATATGTATCCTAGGTTATTCGAGAAGCATTTTAAATGTTTAGTAGAATGCTCTAACCTTTTGCAGAAACTCAAAGAAAGGAAGGATAGATGGTTCCTTGACAGCAGATGGTGGCTCTAAAAATGTATGAAATGTATGCCTGGAATACTCATGAGCATGTAGTTCAAAAATGAAGACTGGTGAAGACTGCAGGAGGGAGGGAGAAGAATATGAAGGGAAAGTATCTCCCCCTCCCCCCAACACACACACACGCTGGGCAGTGACATGCTGTGTTCTGATCAGAGGCCAGTGGGAGACCCGTGTCTGGGGTGGTAGTTCTGACCGCCTCATTCAGTGTCAGGGGAGAGAAGAAAGGCGCCGGCCACTCCCCCACTTCCTTAGCTAGAGACCGGAGGGCGCTGAGTTCCAGAAGCCAAGAGGAGAAGCAGCCCACAGTTTGTAACTGGCGTCTCCTGGGAGCTTTGCCTGCCTGGCTCTGATCCCTCAGCCTTGGGTTTAATGTCTGTGATCTTGGAAGTCTGTAGGTGACAGACGGAGATTAAGATTGAAACCAGAGGTAGAGCATGTCAAGGATCAATTGCTAGCTAGCCAGGACAGGAATATGGGAGAGTATTAAATATTGGTGATTTTTAATCAATGCCTCGTTTATTCCCTTAATTACTAGATTTTTTTTTCTTTTTAATGCCAAGCTCTTCATTATCCACCAGCCGACTGCTACCTTTTATTATAGATAGGCTCTCTGTGTACCTGAAAATCCAGCTAGAAACCTGTATCTCACAGTGTGTGCATGGGTGTCCGTGTGTCTGTGTCTTGTTACACTGTCTTGGATTATCACTTGTTTTTTGTGCATCTCCCAGTGTTCCTATTCAGGTCTGTCATTCCCTGATGGTGTCCTCTGAGGCTAATTACGTTTGAGCCTCAGTTTTCTCAACTGTGAAATGGAGATGAAAGGTAATCGGTGTTACCATGGCGAGTAAATTGAAAAAATCATGTAAAAGTGTGCTTGAAATAGTCAAGTCCTATAAGCTTGTTAATTACAGTGCATATTTAGTAAATAATGAACAAATAAGATAATAAGCCACACACATCACTGGTCAGCATCCCTGTGTGAGTCTGTCATGAAATTTTAAGGTCCCAGCTTTCTTTTTGCAGACTGGGTAGGCTTCACCCTTTCTTAAACATTTTCTTCTTTTACCCCTTATCTTTGTTCATGAGCAGCGTGCTCACCTACATCTATAAAATCTCGGGAAATGGATTATGACCAAGTTCTGCCTTTAGGCATCTGATTTTTATACCTCTTCAACCATTGACCTGGTGTACATTCACCAATGTGCTTGTGTGATGATTCATACTTAAATTATATTAACTTCACTTTTGGTGGCATGAAAAAATTATTCTTTCACCTGATAGCTGCAATGATAGTTGATTATTTTCTGAGAACCTCTTTGGATCAATTATGTGGTCCAATGACTCATTTTATTTGGGATTGGATTTCCATAGTATTTGGGATCTTATGTCCATGGTGATTTAACTCAGTGCTATGGTCTGAATGTTTGTGTCCCCCCCCCAAATTCCTGTGTTGAAATCCTAACCCCCAATATGATGGTATTTGGAGTCAGGGGTCTGTCGGAAGTGATTAGGTCATGAGGGTGGAGCCCTCATGAATGGGATTAGTGCTCTTGTAAAAGAGACCCCGGAGAGCTCCCTCACCTCTTCCACCATGTGAGGACATAGAAGTGGGTTCTCAGTAGACACTGAATCTACCAGCCCCTTGATCTTGGACTTCTGAGATGCCAGAACTGTGAGAAAATAAACTTGTGTCCTTTCTAAGCCACCCAGTCTGTGGTATTTTGTTGTAGCAGCCTGAGCAGACTGAGACAGGAACTTGGCACTGACAGGTGAGGATGCTGCTGTAACAAATACCTAAAAGTGTGGAAGCGGCTTTGGAGCTGAGTAACGGGCAGGGGATCTATGAGTTGAGAGGTACATGTTAGAAAAACCCTGCGTTGCCGTTGGTGATTCTGGTGACGACTCAGAAAGGAAAAACCAAACCGTAGAGAGAGCCTCCATATTCTTAGAGAGACCTGGATAGTAAAGGCCATAGTGATGAGGTCTCAGACGGAAGCGACGAAATGTTATCAGACGATGGAGGAAAGGTCACCCGTGTTATACATTGACCCAGAATAGCAGGATTATGTTCATGTCCTCGTGTTCTGGGGATGGTAGAACTTGCAAGTTATGACACTGGATATTTGATGAGGTGGTTTCTAAGCAAAGTGTTGAAGGAGCAGCCTGGTTTCTCTTGGCTACTTAGAGTAAAACGCAAGAAGAGAGAAATAGGTAAAGATGGAATTGTTCCTCAGAAGCAAAGCAGAACTTAAAGATTTGGAACATTCTCAGCCTGTGCATACTGAAGAGAATAAGAGAGCCTGTTTGGGACACAACAGGAGGGGTGTGGCCATCTGGCCAGATAACCCTGTGTTAAGGAGGTTCCATGAGTTGGCCGTCTAGACAGAAGCCAGGACCTATATGTAGTCCAAGACCATGGACAAAGGCCATTCAGAGATCATCAGGGCAGCTCCCTTCCACCAGAGGCCCCCGAGTGCCAGGACCCCCACCAGCACAGGGCACTGCAGAGACGTCCCACGAGGGCAGTGCCCTGCAGAGCCATGGGGGTGGGGCTAAGCCCCACATTGCCCCATAACCCCATACTGTAGAGCACTGATTCTAGCCCTGGGGAGCATCGGCCAGGAGACCCAGGCACAGAGGCAAATACTTGTCATGGGTCCTTAGCAACTCCTTGATTTGTGGGCCCGTTTACATATTGTGCCCCGAATGTCCCAATGTATACATCTTGCACCTCAACTCACCCATTTTAAGCTCCAGATTTTATACTGGGCTATCCTTCTTCAGAAGGAAACATGCAATCAGGAAATCCAAACATATTTCAATATTAGCCTCCTGCAACGCATACTTAGGGAAGTAAACCCTTCATTTACAAGAAAGTTGTACGCCGCCACCTCCACAGCTCAGCAGGAATGGCTTTGAAATTAAGCGTGCCACGGAGCGGGAGGGATAGTGCTCTGGCCCTTGTCTGAATTGGTACAAATCATCGAATTTGTGTTTAAAACTGACGCCCCGTGTATGTGCTCTGAGATGGTCTTTTGACATCCGTGAATGCCCTTTGACACACATACGCCCAGGAAGGCGTTCCTGCAGAATGGTGTCCCCCCCACCCATCTCCATTGCCAGGATGTCCTGAATTGCCTTGCACACGGTGAGCATGCTCTTACAGCAAGACCTCACGTTTAGCCCTGTGAAGGTGAAATAAGGACTGAATTTAAGATTGGTCATTATCTTGAAGACTGGGTAAGACAAATTTGAATCTGTCTTTGAATTTCAACTACACCAGCAGGTTCTGAATACACAGCCAGATTCTCATTAAACTCCACAGTCAACTTTAGGCATAAATGAAACTGGTTGACAATTTATTCTCTAAGGAAGCCAGGCCACATAATTTTCTAAACACCCCTTTTCTATAAAATGTAAAATGAAAAAAGCTAATCTGAACGTGTATTGAATCCACACTTGGCAATGCTTTATACAGTTGCTACAGTAAGTCGCTGACGTTTATTTTTATCCTTGTGTATTTGGTGAGAAGGAAACAGAAAAAAATCAATGGTTTAACGTACGTGTAATTCTTAAAGTGCTGGGCTAAGTGACAGGGCAGGAACACTAACTAGGTCCCTGCCTTCTGTATCGGTGTCCTCAACCAAAACAGTCTGCAGACATGGCTAAATGTCCCCAGGGGGCTCAGACCCCCCGCCCCCCCAACTTGAGAACCACTGCCCTAGATGTATCGATATTTTTTGGTGAGAAATATTTCACTGGAACACCAGTGAGGTAAGACAGTAGAAGCATATTGAGGCATAATAGTACATATTTCATGAACTGTCTCCCGCCTTAGAAAATCCTGTTTGCTTGCAATAAAATGGCAGTAAGCTGACATCGAATAAGACAAGCCGCTTAGTTCCTAACTATCAAAAGCTAATTTTCCCACTAACCATAGTTTGATATACAAATCACTAGCCCGTATAAACTATGACAGAACAAATACACTGATTTTGCGGGGGATGACGGGTCTTTTCCAGTTCACCGCACTTTTCATGTCAGTTCAGAGGATTCTTGCTGTTACTATCTGTATCAAAGTAATTGGGTAGCATTTTTCATCTAAACAGCTCAAAAAGAGTTCTAAGCATTAACTTGTGAACTTCACATTATAACTTGACACACGGGAGGTAAAAAACCCACATAATTCCGTTTCTAAGGGTAGTGATTTCTTTTCTTTTTTTTTTTTGCAGGCCACATGTCTGTTATAGTGAAGTAAGTCCTTACAGTTATAGAGTGTGTTTGGCTGTTTAAAGGCGTCTAAGTACTGTAATTTCCCAATATGTGTGCTATCCACAAATTGTTATCGCTATGGTGCAGTGTTGCATTTTTGCCGGATAACTTCATTAAATAGCAGCATTGTGCTTGCAGAACGCACCTAGGGTCTGTAATTACCTTCCTAAAGGAGTAGCCAACAAATGATAGGGCCAGATTAGTTAGGGTGAAGGCAGTGACCGTAACTGTGAACAGCCTTGCTCTGAAAAATGCTCAGCTGCTCAGGTCGGGGCTACCAGGGGGCTGACGAGGTTGGGCCTGAAGAGGCTTGGTTTCTATCCTGTCGGCCCCGCGGATGGATGTGATCTTCCGCAAATCACCGGAGGGGAGGCTCACTCCTGCTTGGCGTCTTTGTGGAGAGGGTGTGGGTAACGTCATGGGGGCCCCACACCGAAAGCTGAGATTTTGAAATGAATGCTAAGTGGGGGGCTCGTTTGCATTGACCCTTCTTAGAAGGCTGAGAAATCTTGTGCAAGGGTGTCTTCATACCATGGCTTCATGCTTTGCTCTCGACACCTTACAGTTCTGAATACCTGCATTTTCGCTCCACACGGGGCCCAGATGTTGTGTAGCCGATTCTGGCACCCAGCATCAGCCTGGCACAGCAGAGACGTGCAGTAGCACCTGGCACGATCCCTTCCTGTCTCCTGCTAGAGTCCCTCTGTTGTGCTTTGACACCATTGAGTTTGCTTCTACTCCAGTCTGAAGCCCCGCCATGCTTCTCGGGCCAGCCGTCAGGGGCCCGTGGCTGAGGCCGCGCTGGCACCCAGGACCGATGCCCTGGCGCTCACGTACTCCAGCAGCATGGGAGAATGCGGTTTCCCCACTACGGATGGTCTTCATTCCTACTATGGAGAAGGGGGCGGTACCTGCAGGTATCAGCACTGGCTGTGAAGGAGATGCAGACCCTTTCCCGTCGGTGGGATCTTTGGTCACGAGGAGCCACCGCATAAGGAAGTCTGTGCCAAGTCCCAGCGGTGTCGCAACACAGTTGTGTCAGGTCGCCGCCCACAGAGGAGTGTCCTATAGAAATCACGTTATGCTGGTGACTGGGTCTCTCATTTACTTGCACTTCAGAATAAATCAGCTATTTTTAAAAACTTTTATTGGCGTATCGTTGCTTTACAACGTTGTGATAGTTTCAGGTGCACAGCAAAGTGAGTCAGCTATACGTATACATGTATCCCCTCTTTTTTGGATTTCCTTCGCATTTAGGTCACCACAGAACATTGAGTAAAGTTCCCTGAGCTATACAGTAGGTTCTCATTAGTTATCTGTTTTATACATAGTATCAATAGCGTATATATGTCAATCCCAATCTCCCAGTTCATCCCATCCCCCCTTTTCCCCCCTTGGTATCCATAGGTTTGTTCTCTACATCTGTGTCTCTGATTCTGTTTTGCAGATAAGATCACCTATACCATTTTTCTAGATTCCGCATATATGCGTTAATATACCGTATTTGTCTTTTTCTTTCTGACTTACTTCACTCGGTATGACAGTCTCCAGGTCCATCCACATCTCTACAAATGACCCAGTTTCATTCCTTTTTATGGCTGAGTAATATTCCATTGTATATATGTACTACATCTTCTTTATTCATTCCTCCGTTGATGGACCTTTAGGTTGCTTCCATGTTCTAGCTCTTATAAATAGTGCTGCAATGAACACTGGGGTGCTTGTGTCTTTTTGAATTATGGTTTTCTCTGGGTATATGCCCAGTAGTGGGATTGCTGGGTTTTGAGAGCAGACCTCACAAGTCATACTTATACCGTTCTTCCTTTGGGGGAAATGCCCTCTGATCTCTAAAGAATTCTAAGTGGATGATGTACAAATCATTTTGGGGACCATAATCCAGTTCTGAATAATATCTACTTGGAAAAAAAATCTCGTGAACTCTTTGACAACAAACAGCCATGGAGTCTTCAATTATCAATTGAAGGATTGGAGCTTAAGTATTCCATATCTAATACTGTATCTTTCCAAATAGAACACTAGCGATTTGAAAACTGCATTGCAGAATAAAACTTGCACATGTCAGAAAAGCTCCCAGAGCTCAGCTTCTTCTGTGGGAAGAAATGGTAATATTTTAAATGGCAATCTTTTTCGACTTTTTAAATGGAAGATAAAGTATAATTGGTGCCCCTCCCTGCCAGTGTCTCATTACATATCCAGGCCATGTAACTAACCCATGAAATGTGCTACATCCTGGTGACATAAATGAAAACATCCCCTGAGCCGTAATAACCAGAGGGGTTTGTTTCTCTGGAAGATAGAGTGAAACTTTCAAATAACTCTTACAGTGTAGGATAGAACATCGTAAATAACTTACTTGCAACCTGTACACACTCAGGAATTTAGACTTACGTGGACTTTAATTGTGTAAATGACTTGGCTGTCTACAATTTAAGTGCCAGTATTACTCGGGTGAAGTGGATGGAGTTGGAGAACAATGATTTGTGCATATCTCTTTAAGGTCTTTTCTGATATCAATAAATGTTATCTTCTATTTAAGTGTGTCCCACTGTGCCCTTGAAATACATGGAACTTACTGTTATAGCAAATTTTTGTACATTTAAACGATTTTAATTTCATAGTAGGGGACATGAAATATATCGTAGGCATGTTAATGCCTCCTTTCACAAGCTGTTTCTTTATCCGTCTAGGTCCTGTTAGCCAGCAGTTTTGTGCCCATTTACGCAGGACTAAAACCAGTGGAATACAAAGGGCAGGTAAGATGCTTACAACTGACAAATGATCAATAAATCCCGTGTTCATATGTTTCCTTCGAAAGATCCAATTGTACTATTATTCTGGTGGCTCCAACTCCATTTGTATGACTTGTTTCCCCGTAGTTTTGTTTCTGTTTAGCAGAAAAAACAAAAAGAATCAAGTGCAGGTGCTGTGGTGCCCTATCGCCTGCACACTTACACACACACACTGATGAGCAGACACAGTATCTGTTCAACACACACCAGAGTTAAAAGTTGTGTGATCAAACACAGTAGCTATTTCATACATAAACCGGAGATACGCATCTCAGAACCAAATGCGGTATCTATTTAACCCACACCAGAGATACGTACTTTTTGTCATCAAATACAGTCTCTTTAACACCTACTCAAGATCAGGCACATATCCATGGATGATTAATGCCATTTGTTTTATATATACATGATATGTACGTATTCATTCATAAATGTGTACAGGAAAAGTGTTTAATAGCTGTCATTCATTCTTTCACTTGGAAGGCCCAGCAAAGGGCCTGTGCTCAGTGAACGCATGGTCTTACAACCAAGGAATTGACTTTTGCAAATCTCTTAGCTAATGTGATTGGGGATGTGTCTGTGTTCTGACCTTGTCAGGCCTTGTGATTTTCTTTCTCTGAGTTTTCCTGGTCATCCCCGCCCTTTTCTGTGCTTCTCATAGGATCCTTGGCCCAAAGCGGTCTGCCCCGGGACGGTTGTCTCAGACGGGCAGATGGTTGAGGTTGAGTAGCTGGATGAGGCCATGTAGATGGACAGCCTAAGAGTGGACCATCAGGTCCAACTTGGACTCTCTTTATTCCCTATATGCATACAGCGTGTTATTTGCAGTGATGGGCTCACATGTTGTAGGCTAAAACCCTCTTCGTGACCAAGTAGAAACGTAATATACATTGAATTTTTTAAAGCAGCATAAAATAAACATAAGCTCATGGAAACCCAGGTGTTTTTTTGCTGTTGTTGTTTTGGGTTTTTTTTTTTCCTATTTTGGATACTGCCTCTCAGAGCTAGCAGATACTCAGTTACCAAGGGGTATGATCTTTGCTGTCATTTGAAAATTGGAGAGGTATCCCCCTTTACATAATGACTTTAAAGTAAGTTAAGTAGCATTTTCTCTTAGAGCCGTAAAAAACTCAACATTTGTTTTTACGTATAAATTTCGAATACAGATGCTATCAAAATCAACTTTACATTACTATTATGAACTTTAATTTTATGATCTGAAATGTAATGATTTTACTTCACGCTATTGCTTGATAATAAATGCAATTATTATATCACGCTATTGCCTGATAATAAATGCAATGATTTGTGCATATCTCTTTAAGGTCTTTTCTGATATCAATAAATGTTATCTTCTATTTAAGTGTGTCCCACTGTGCCCTTGAAATACATGACAGAAATGGCTAAATGGTAGAAAAAAATATGCAAAATGCTCAGGTGTTTCATGAGATTGTATCTGATCATGAAAAGGGGATTCAGAATCCAAGAATCAACAGAATTTCTGTTGTGATAGATAAATTAAGAGGTGGTGACTGAGAACGTGGGATGTAGGTATAGTAAGGAAGTGATGGAAAGGAGATGGGGGGGGAAAGGAGGGATGGAGTCAAGGCTAGAACAGAGCTGAGTCCCAGAAGCCTAGTATATTCTAAGACGATGCTGAACATTTCCTGTGTTTAAATAGTATTAACTGTATTATGAAGGAGGTGCAGGTGGTAATGGCTCCTAGTTTCTTCCAACATACACTGTCCTCTTCTTCCTTAGTAACAGAAACCCAGTTTTTTTCTGGGCCTGTTACCGTGTAGCTAAAAGGCCACATTCTCCACCTTCCCTTGCAGCTAGGTGTGGCCATCCCCTTACGTGCTGGCAGTGAGAGGTAGGCCGAATTACTGTGGGACTTACAGGAAGGGAGGTTGTGTACCTTTCTTTCCTTCCTGCTGCCTGGAACTTAGATGTGACGACCAGAGCTCTGGCAGCTGTTGTGGATCATGAGGTCACAGATCACACCCTAGACAGAGACAAATAATGAGATGGAAAGACCTGGGCCCTGAGTGACTTGAGGAGGGGGACCTTACCAGGCCACCTTCTGTATTTCTTTTACTAGGAAAAGTAAAACTTCCTGTTCTTATTGCTTTCTATTGGATGCATTAGAGTCCACTCCCATGTGCTGTAGGGATTATTACCCCCATATTTTACAGATGAGGAAATTGAGTTGTAGAAACATTCATTCACTTCACTGAGGTCACCAAGCTTAGTAAGGGGGCAACTTTCCCAGGATGATCTCTAATGTTTGCATCTGTGCTGTGCCTCTTGCTTTACTTTGCTTTGGTCATTCCTTTAAAAAAATATCTCCCTTATTTTATTTCTGTCCCGCCCATCCCCACTGCTCCAGGTGTATGACCGGAAGCCTAGGAATAGTTAAAGGGTGAGATGTTCTCAGTTGAATTTCCTGCTATGTGATTGAATACTTAGATGGGAACATGAAAGGGCAGCCTCAATTAAACAGGGAATGCAGCACCTGGAGGTGTGAGAAAAAAGGGACCTTGGGAGGCGGGACACGGCCTTGCTGATGACTGACATCTGTGCACAGTTGGCACGTCATAATTACTTGTTGAATAGAACCTAATGTCTCCAGAAAGCATTCGGTTTACCTTGGGTGTTTAATGAAGTCCAGGAAGAGGGGCCCCTGTGCACACGATGATTGACAGTGTGCTCCTCAGAGACCTTGCTTCGTGTCTACAGCCACACAGTGGCGACGTGCCAGTGCCCTTGTGTGCTTGCTATGGACTCTTGTCAGGCCCCTCCCTTCCCCCAGCTGAATATGCTTTCTAGACCAGGTTAGTCTGTAGAATCGCTCCATTTTCAGGGAAATGCGAACTTTGCTTTAAATGCAGTGTTTTGCTGTGGGTGTGAGCTTTTCCTAATTCCATAAAACTTTGTGTCACGCTTTCCCCTGTTCTGGGTCTTGATGCTTTTGTGGAGGTCAGGTTCTGATTTGCTGGTTGGCTTTGGTGGTTTTTCTGAAGCGATGGAGGTTGCAGCAGCAGGGGGCAGAGAGAGCTCAGCATCACTTGGGTTTGAGGCAGAGCCGCTGGTGTCCTGAGCTGCTTCTGCACGCAGCTCCTGTTCAACCGGCTGACCACTCACCTCCACGTCCGGTGTCACTTAGCTATGGAACATACTGCGTTTTACTAATACTTATTTGTGGACCTGATATTTTTATTGAAAAAAATCTTTTATTAATCATGTAGAAGTTTCATACCTTCATAAGATTTAAAATTGACTTAAGCCACAGTAAATAACAGCATGATTCCTTCCTAAACTGTCTACCAGTTGTGTGAAGTGGTACAACATCTTGGAAAACGGCTTGGTTTTCCTAATTTTTAAAATTAATTAATTTTTAAATTTTTATTTATTTATTTTTGGCTGCGTTGGGTCTTCGTTGCCGCGGACGGGCTTTCTCTGCTTGCCGAGAGCGGGGGCTACTCTTCGTTGCGGTGCGCGGGCTTCTCATTGCAGTGGCTTCTCTTGTTGCAGAGCACGGGGTCTAGGCACGTGGGCTTCAGTAGTTGTGGTGGGCTGGCTCAGTAGTTGTGCCGCACGGGCTTTGTTGCTCCGCGGCATGTGGGATCTTCCCAGACCAGGGCTCGAACCCGTGTCCTCTGCATTGGCAGGCAGATTCTTAACCACTGCACCACCAGGGAAGTTCCTGGTTTTCCTAATTTTTAAAAAAGTTTTTGTAGCTTTCTCTGGTTTTATCTTAGGAGACTGTTTTTAGCACCCTACTTATACTTGATATTCATTAACAATTGAATAAATGGAAATAAATTGAAGTTCAATCTTATCATTTTTACCAGTGGATTTTCCTTCAGTGTACATGGCCTCTTTCCAGTGATTGAATAAGCTGTGGGAATGTGCCTACTTTCAGAGCACGTTTTCACAGGTTCTAGTCATCAATGTGGAAGAAGAATAAGGATTTTCAAGAGGAGGTCTTAACTGATCAGTTTTTGTTTTTGCTTTTTAATATTTATTTATTTAGGCTTTGCCGGGTCTTAGTTGCAGCACGTGGGATCTTTTTAGTTGCAGCATGCGAACTCTTAGTTGCAGCATGTGGGATCTAGTTCCCCGACCAGGGATCAAACCCGGGCACCCTGCATTGGGAGATCGGAGTCTTACCCACTGGACCACCAGGGAGATCCCTGATCAGTGTTTTTTTGTTTGTTTTTTTGTTTCATTTTAAGACATAGCATTAGTGTTGGCAAGTGACTATTTTATTGTTATTTTGATATTTTAATCTCTGGAACTGTGATGCAGATCACAAGAAGAGCTATAGGTTTGTTTTTTGCTCTGAGTTAGATTTCAAGTAATATTTTAACAGTGTATTGTATAGAGAATACTTATCATTGTATTCTAGTCATTGAGCCTTTTGCATGGGTTATGAATTATTAATCTTTTCATTATTGGCATATCTGTGGGAAAGAGAATTGTAGAATACTCTGTTACTATGTATTTATATACAACTATTATTATTACAGTCCTTTGGCTTCTATTTCTTCATGATTTAGACATGTCACGAGGATACATATCTCAATCACTGTCATAGCGAACGGTGGTGGCTGGCTGGGCGACCAGCTAGATTTGGCTTGATGGAACCCTGGTTATCAATTTACAGCTATGCTGAAATAGAAGCTCTTATTTTTCATCGGCTTTTTAAATTCTGCATGTCTATTTGATTTTTGAAAAAATAGGTTAGTTTTCCAGGGAACATCTTCTATTAATAAATAGCACTTGTAGAATTTCAACTGCTAGAGTTTTCTGAAAGTTGGGTATATAGAATCACCATTTTTGAGCAACCCTCAGAAATCCAAAAATTAAGTTGGCAATTTACCAAAAATCATTATTTAGTACAAGTCAGTATTGCAGGTTTTCTCAACCAGTTTTTAATTTTTAAAATTTTATTTATTTTC